TTAATAATATATTACTATAAATATTAATATTTTAATTTTACTCTTATTCCATAAGAAATAAAAATGTATTACTATGATTTCTTTATTTAATTATTACTATAAATAAGAAAGGGTAAAAAGTAAAAAGATAAAATTAAATTATTGTAATAAAACAATTTTAATAATCATAAATGGATAAGGTAAAATATATAATTAAAGGAGACAAGAAAAAGCATGCAACAAGAAATTATGTTTCCCTTTCTTTCCCTCTCCACCGAAGGTAATGCTCGTAAGCAAATCGCTCTTCTTGATTGCTCTTTTCTAATAAAATATAAACAATGTTTTACTTTTAAAAAATAAATGCAAGTTGAAGATCAACATAGTTTGGGGAAAGATCAACTTCTGCTTTTGGTAGGTAGTAGTCTTCTAGTTTTGGATTTTCTCCTCTCCTCGAACCTTGTAAACAGAAATGTCATATATGCTAGATAAAAAAATGGACGTTACGAATAATAATTGGTAAAAGTTGTTAACACAAATTGGGACGGTACCATTCGCTAATAGGGTTATTACCAACCGTGGACTTGTCCGTGGATAAAATATTCGAGAATGAAAAAAATTAAGATATTTTAATCATAATTTTTTTATCTTAGTTGTACAATGAGAGATAATTGTATCTCATCTCTTATCCCATCTTACCTGCATGTCATGCAATTTGAACTCAAAATCTTTTATTTTCAGTAAAAAGAGATGACTACTGAATTATTTAAATCGTTGGTATTTCAATTATAGTTATAAAATAATAGATGTAATGTAAATATCACTTTTCATTTATTATATTGTCAAAATTATATGTCTTGATATTTTTAACATATAGTAATGTTTCGATTTTTAATTTTGTAAAATATATTTAAGTTTTTCTCTAATTGAAGTTGAATTATTGATGTTTTTTAAGGGAATATTCTTGGGTATTAGTAATTAGTCCATGATTCAGTCTAGCACTCACAGTAATGTTCTTAACTTTTCGCC